CAACCTCTAAGGGACTTAGAGTTCTCAGAGTTGATAAAAGCTCTCGCCTGAGGGACTCAATATCTCTATGGCGAAATTGTTTCCAAAATTCACGCCTAAGTGACACGACCTATATCAAAGAATTTTTTTTATTAATAACCATGTATTAAAAAAATATTTTGCAAATAACCGGGTTTCGGAAAAAATTACGCAAATAACCATGTTTCAGATGGCTCCACAAAGGAGGAGCCATCTCAATTGGCGCATGCACCTAGGGTTTTGCCCTAGGCGCCATCTCACTTGGCGCCTCCCTTGTCTTTTAGCCAAGTGAGATGGCGCATGCTCCTTAAAAATGAGAGGAGGCGCCATCTCACTTGGCGCCTAGGGCAAAACTAGGGTTTTTTGCTGTTTTATAAATAATTCGTCCGTTTCTTTGAAATTTCTCACACTTTCTCGCACTGTATTTTTATTTTGTACTCCCTTATTTACGTAATGACGTCGCCTATGATTTTTAGCAGAGATGGTTACGTTATATTCTCCGCCACGAAACCTGCGATGAAAATGAAATTCTGGCACATTCACTCCATGGAGCGTCTGAAGCGGGAGTTGATGCGGTGGCTAGATGGAGACATCGCCGAGGGGTAAAAAATTCGAAGGATCCAGCGAAAACGAACAACAATCTCGCATGCGACAGGAAGACCTAATGTGTGGTTGGAGGAAGTCAAAACAGACAGTGATGTAATGCTGATGATGCATGGGTCAGATGAAATTGTGTTAACAGTTGTAATTTCCTAGATTGAATATCGTTAATCATTGTTGTACGCGAAAACCCTAATGTAATTTCCTATATTGAATTTCTTAAATTGTGTTAACAGTTTTATTAACGGAAAACCCATAATGTTTACAACACAAATATTGGAAAGATTTATTGTATTACAAAATTTATGTGGTCGAGCCAGACGCCCGATTCAGACAGTTTTTGCGATTGTGTCCGACCTGACGGCATAAACCACACTTTCTTTCCAACCTGTCAAGATCGTCCATTTCTGTTGTGATGCGCCTGCTTTTGGGACGACCCTTCTTGTTCTTTCGCATTTGGTCATTGTGCCAAACTATATCGCCGTTGTATTCAGGCCAATAGTCCGGTTTTGCCACCAAAGGAAAGTTGTTGTTGTAAACAGTGAGCAACGTTTCAGATTTATAAACGTTTGAGAGCAGTTGAAGCGCGTCTTGATGGGTATGAGCACAAGCGGCAATGACATGAGAGCAAGGCATACGAAAAGCTTGAAACCTGCCACAATCGCACCATTGAGAAGGTAAAATGACCCTGTATTCTTGTCTTGCCAGGCCTTCATTGTGGTCGATTGTCTCTTTCACAATGAAGTTGTGGCTATGGCGGTCAAACCGTGTAACCATGTGAGTGTTGGCTTTAACACTTTCAGCCTTAATGTATTTCATACAGCTTTCACTCCATAGTTGTCCTGATTGCAAGACCGCATACCACATTTCACCTCTTTTGGCAAATAACGCAGCCATCCTAAAATACGTGGATTTCACCAAGGCAGTGATAGGGAGGTTTCGTATGCCCTTGAATACCCCATTCATTGATTCAATAAGATTTGTTGTCATATGCCCCCATCTTTGTGAAGATGCAGTTCGGAATGCATCAAGAGATACCAAGTGATCCAACAGATTTGTCCCCCTGGCATCTAAAAAGGGTCGACGCCCAGTGGGGTCTTACCAACTGGAAAGACTTTGCTCCAGAATGGTGTAAAATGTGGCAAAGGCGTCACCGCTACATCTTGCAATCCCCGGTTTTCCTTACTCAAGGTAACATGCGACACACTGATCAATATATGTCGTGGTACAGGTCGGTTAGTAACCCAGAAATGCACGTGTCTCATCCGAGGTACTTGGTTGACCCACGCACACAATGGGCACAACCCTCGATTCCCCATCAACAAACCCAAAATCCATCAACCTCAAACCAACCCCCAAGAAGAAACAGACCAACAAACACACAACCACATTCCCCACCACAACACAACTACAATCAAATGTCGTACTACCAACCACAATCACCGCCAAACTACCAATACCCGGATATGCCTCAAACCTAACCACAATACCAACCCCAATACCAGCACACCCACATACCCCAAACACAATTTTAGTCTTCCACATATCCCAATATGGCGCCCTCAACATCCAGCCTTAGCCCTGATATGGGAATGTCAGAAGATTATGACCAAGCCGACCAAACCTACCATCAACCACCATATCACCAAACAACCCAACATCCACAATACCAAACACCCCAAGATCCATTTCCTTTCTACCCCCCATACTCAGACGACCAATGCTACCGACCAACCATGGAACCCCACCCACCGCCAACACGACCAAACTTTGAGGGTATGGGTAACCGACTGTACCAGAGCGGATCTTCGAGATATGGAGATCTTACTGATTTTATGGATTCGGATCGCATTGACTTCGCTGGGCCATCGACCTTGCCGCAGCAGGAAACGAGACGGCACCCAGCAAGAGAAAGGCGAGGACGGGGATGCGGAACCGAGGGTCATTACCGGGTTCCGGGGGATCACTGATGTATCTTTTTTTTTCCTAGTATTTTTTGTATCCATTTTTTTTACTGTTCTTTTAATGTAAAACAGTTGAATGTAATTATTTTTTTTTAAATAAAAAATCCATTTTGTTGATCTCTGTCTAATAGGCAACGCGCAGGAAAGAAAATAAAAAAAAAATTTTTTTGCCCTAATTTTGTACATAGGCGCCATCTCACTTGGCTTAGGGCATGCCCTAAGCACTTAGGCGCCAAGTGAGATGGCGCCTCCCTTAAAAAAAGAGGTGTATGCGCCAATTGAGATGGCTCCTCCTTTGTGGAGCCATCTCAAACATGGTTATTTGCGTAATTTTTTCCGAAACCCGGTTATTTACGAAATATTATTTTAATACATGGTTATTAATAAAAAAAATTCTATATCAAACCCCAGAGATGTTGTCAAGTCTGTCTAGAGGGCTCGACAGAAGTCCTGCTTGAAAGGTTAAAACGCCTCGTTTGAAGGATTTAGTGCCTCTCTATATGGGTTACATGATGCAACCTCCGAGAGACTTAGAGTCCTCATTGTCGATAAAAGCTCTCGCATGAGGGACTCAATATCTCTTCGAGCAAAATTATTTCTAAAAATCACCCCTAAGAGGCGCGACCTATATCAAGCCCCCGAGACTTAACATCAAGTCTTACTAGAAGACTCGATGGAAGTCCCGCCTGAAAGAAGTTACATGCTGCTTAAGGGACTTAGCACCTCCTTAACCAAATGACATAGTAGTAAATCCGTAAAGACCTATACTCCTAAGGGTCGGCTAAAACCTCATCGAGAATTGATTTCTATCGAGTAACCCACCATGAACTAAAATCAATTATGGAAAATTAATTCACTAAAAATAATTTTATTTCCCTACATAACTATACACACACTTAGATATATCATTTAGATAAGAGATATGACTTTTCTCTCATAAGTCATAACTTATGTAATTATTCTATCCTAATTAATTGTTGCAAGGGAAAATTGATTATCAAATTTCTTTTTATATGCTATTTTAGAATTTTTCACATTAAATAATTAACATTAATTTTGATATAATTATTTATTTCATGAACTTAAATGTATGTGAAATAGTTTGAATTTAGAGATGACAATGAATATATATGAATATGAGTATTAATTTTCCGCTCTATGTAGTAAATATGATATTTGTATCCACTCCATACCTGTGTGGATATCCGTTAGACGGGTATCTGTAAATTTTGAGATACCTGCATATATATACGGGTATTCATAAATACTCTTACTTAAATATTTTATTTTAAATATATAATAAACTAAATTTTTATATTTTTAAAGACAAAAAATAGTTTCAAATTTAACATATAATAATAATAACAAAAATAAATCACATTCATTTTATTTCTTCTTTTTTTAAATAATTATATTATACTCAATAAAATATAATAGTTTCATATTCAACAAAATAATAATAATAATAATAATAATAATAATAATAATAATAATGATAATGATAATAATAATAATAATTTTTTACTAAATAAATTAATATTTAAGTAAAATTATTAATTATTAACGAATATGAATACCATCAAATCCATATTCGTACTCGTAAGTAAACGAATAACTAAATATTCATTTACTTTATTCACGGATATCCATTAAAATATTCTACCCGTACCAATGACGGGTTTTATCCGCGGGTGTATGTTTTTTTACCATCCCTAAGTTTGATATCATCATTTAGTAGAAATTTATTATTCAACTATGTCACACCATTAACTTAAAAATATCAATCTGATTTAGCGGATTACACAACCGTTATTGATTGGTAATATAAAATTATTTTATGCACCTCCTAGTTTCTCTTATTTTATTGTTCTAATAATAATTGGAAAAAATTTAAATACAATTCTTTAAGTGTGATTTATACTTTTTTTTCAATGATAATATGACATAGATATAATTTTCTCCTACACATATGCAATTTTCTTCTATTTTTACTCCATAAAAAATATTTAAATATATTTTTCATATTTTTATTGGAGAAAAATATGAATCATACCTATAAAATTGCATCTAAATATTCTTATTATAATTTACTTTGATTATTTCACATAAATTAAAAATATAATTAAAATAAATAAAAAAATTCAATATAAAATATTAATATTTGATTGAAATTACAAAGTAGCTTATAATTTAAAAGAATTAATTTTTCACATCAATGTATATTATATTCAAAATTTTATTCCGCCACCTTCACTTGACTTGGTACCCCATAAGTATAGTGGTTTTACTATGATACTGTTGTGGGCTTTGTTTAGCGGAAAACAGGCCCAATAATTCTTCAGCCTATACTGTTGTGGGCTTCAGAGGCTTCACTTCCATCTTTGATTCCTTTCGCTGAGTTGTTAAGGTTTCCGAGAAATGGAACAAGGAGATGGCAATTCACCCTCCAATTCACAACAAACTGGTAACTATTAACTTCACTTTTTTTAGTAAAATTGTTATTATGCTTCTCTTAATTTCAAATCACCTGCCAATTAAAATGTAACTGTTGCATATTTTTTATAGTTAATGGTTAGAAATTTGTTACACATAGGTGAATTTGCAGGAAAAGGAAATTTAGGGTTTTCACAAAGGAGAGAGGAATCATGTTTTTTTAAGAGTGTTTTCCAATCAGTATATTCAATGTTTGACATTGTATTGTCAGACCGTCTTAAGTTTTCAAAGACCTGTGTAGGTTAACTTTAGACCTTGTGCGGTAGCTTGCCTTGCATGCTCTTAAAGATGGATGTAATTTTTGTTTATTTGATATAAATATCACAGTTTCTGATGATGACGAGATTGACTACTCAACCAAACCAGAGTTTTATGATCCTGAACTTGATGAAAAGGATGAAAAGTGGATTCGTAAAAACAGACATGGACGTGATTCTGATGCGGTGCTTTGCTGCCCTGCTTGCTTCACCACACTCTGCCTAGAATGTCAAAGGTAATATGTTGTTCAATTCTATTCAGTTTGCGTACACTAATTAACGACTTGTTGTTCAACTTTTCTGATTCCATATATTCCACAAACGCTGACTTCATTTGTGCGTTACAGGCATGAGAAATATTTGACCCAGTATAGAGCAATATTTGTAACAAACTGCAAGATTGAGGATAAACCAGTTATGACTCAAAGTAGCTCAAAATCAAGAAAAAGAAATACAAGAGACAGAGAATTTGGTGGGAGCCATGCAATTTCATCTAGTACTGAAAAATTAAAACAAGTCTGCTGCACTGTCTGTTCAACAGAGGTGGGTGTCTTTGATGAAGATGAGATTTATCATTTCTTCAATGTACTCCCTAGTGAATGCTGACATAGCAGTGGTTTTGCTGCTCAATCATTCTGCTGAAATGTGAGTTTCACTGCCCTGTAAAATTCAAAATGGATGCTATAATATCTCTTTGTTTAAATCAAGGAAAGAACCACAATCCCCTCATAAGGAAAGAATTAAGTTTCCTCTCCCTTGGTTTTTCATCCTGCTTGTTTATGTTTGTGAGATTTGAAAGAAAATAATATCATCACTCAAGGTGTTATATATATATATATATATATATATATATATATATATATATATATATATATATATATATATATATATATATATATATATATATATATATATATATATATATATATATAACAATTGCTACCTAAGGCTATGTTTGGATACTATTATTAAGCACATGATCGAAGAGACTAAGATTAATTTCATATAAAAGCACGGGATAAATGTAATGACTCACAAGGAATCTTGACCATGATGACAATGATGCTCTCACACATCTTCTTTGGTTAATGTGAATGGATACAAAAACCTGAAGAAAGTTTCTAAAACTGGAGCCACAAATAACTCATATATGATGCGGAGACAGAATCTGATCTGGTAAATTTGGATCCAATTTTGACGATGTTGGGGTGCAGGGGTATATCTGCTACAAGAAAGGCATTGTCAGCATGTAGACATTTGACACAGAAGTGAAATTTCCAAAATAGAATTTGTGATTCTTTGTCTCTATCGTTGCATAATTGGAATCTTAGTCTTGATCAACATTTGGATTGAAACCAGAATCTTCAACAAAAGTTGCTTCTTCATCTCTTGCGTAATTACGATATTGCTCTGAAACTATATTATGAAGCACGAGATCAAAGAGATAAAAATTAATTTCATATGAAAAATAAACTTGAGAATTTGATACATGATTTTCATATCTTAAAATATATCCTCATGCATTTATGTATAGTTTCCCAACCATGCAGGATTTGGATACCTCAGTCCTCACAGATAAAATATGATCATGTACTAAAAGATAAAGATATGAAGAGCAAAGACGAAGATGTTTGGGAATATATTGCACGTACACGAACTAGCACCATACTCACTCAATAAGGTATCATACCTTACGCGATCCACATATAATCCAACTAGAATAGAAGTAGTTGTCATCTAGTAGGTGTGTGTCTCAATTAGTGGCATAGTTATCAAACAACACATACTGTTTAGTAACCAATTCATGCACTGTGGATACAATTATATATTAGGGTGAGATTTCATTGGAATAAAGATATTGGCACGTGGGTCAATCTATGTGTACTCCTGGCCGTACTCTCATCCACCAATACCTGAAAATGGTGATCAATTCATGTCCGCGTCAACATATATTTAAATAAACATTGAATAAAATATTTTTAACAAATAATTAAATAATTATATGAATATGATACTTGAAACAATGTCATATATCATGAACTTCGATGTAGCATTTAGCTCCATACACAAATAATAAAAGTATTATTACTTAAGTGTATTCATCGACCATATCTAAATCTCTAAAATACTCTACATATCAAGGGGTGTAGGTGATACTTTTGTCTATGAAAATGGTCGAACCCATCAGAAATAGAAGATACATCCTAATGGCCGGTGTTTGTACATGTGTTTATCCACCTCGTCACCTTCTTGTTAAGGGTATTCATAATTAATAAATATTTTTAAAACTCTTATTTGAGAAAATTGAATTGTGCATGATCTCTTTTGAAGTTGTATGTTTCTGATATATTAAGGGGAGACTTCTATGTAGTTTTCTTGCTTGTCTATTAAGTTTTACTTTGAATTTAGTTTTATACTTGAGTCTCCTATTTAATTGTGCGTCTTTAAGGATCGAGTTTCTGATTTGTGTTTTAGCTTGTATAATTTAAAGTGTTTGTGTTTGAGTATGAACATTATACTTTACGTCAACTAGTCGAGTTTTTGAAACAAGAACCATAATTTATATTGATTCAAGTCACGCCAAAGATAGAATCTCAAAATATCGTCGAAAACTTGAGTTTTTGAGATTTTGGAAGTGTGATTCGAATCACACGTTCCCCTTAGTCGAATCAAACAAGGCATAAAGAAATCAGGGCTTTGTTGCAGCTAGTGAGTCGAATCACAATTTGCTTTGATTCGAATCATACACTTTGTGAGTCGAATCACATTTTGTGCATGAGTCAGATCACAAACCCTTTCTCAGCCTCTGCCAAGTTTGAGTCGAATCATGACCAAACTATGACTCGAATCATAGCCTGTGTGAGTCAAATCATGCATTAGTCTTGACTATAATCATAGAAAATGAGTCTCTCTTTAAGTGTAGATCTTGTTCCACATTACTTTGCTAACTTTACTCAAATTACTAAATGCTCTTGTCTCGAATCAAACATGAATTTTTCACCAACTATCGTGCTTCATCACTAGCACTTATAAATCCTTTTAACTCTCAAACCATTCACAATGTTAGAAAACATTCTTTCATTGATGATTTGAAAACTCACAAATCACTTGTTATTACATTTTCAAAATAGTTTTGAATCTTTCTTGAACACCCGCAAACGATTTTTTTTTAAATCTTTTATTTCATTCTTTTTCCATTGTTGCATGGATTCGAATCTTATCTTGAAAGATCGTGATTGATTAAGGAGATTCATTTTTAGATTTAACGTTTCTTTAAAGATTTGTTTAAGATTTCAGAGGCTTGCAAGAGTGTGTAGTATTATGGTTGTGATAATTCCAGTGGAAAAGAATAAGGTTCTTCTCTCCAGGTTAACCTTGGTAGTACTGTGTGGAAATCTATATGCAGTGTAGGAGTTATTTTCGATTTTTGAACATACCAACACTTAAGATACCGATAAAATTGTGTGAAAATTGCCGCAAACAGAGACTTAGGAGCAGGTTATTAGGGCTAGAAGATTCAAGAAGTGATTTCGAGTAAAGATTTCACATATAGTTTAGTTCGTGGGGCTGTGTACAAGTCAAGATTTAGAATAGAAGAAAATTATTTTTAGCATTTATTTATGGACTAGTGATTGTAAGAACTCTTGTAATATTGTTGCAAACTATAGTGGAAGACCAATAAACTTTCAATGGAAAACCATTGAGGAGTGGATTAAGCACAAAGCAAGGACTAATGTGTCAAACCACTATAAATTATGGTGTACTTTATTCTCTCAGTCACTCATTTAATTTTGTAGTTGATCGCATAATTAGGCAGTTTCTATTTCTTTCTAGATTCGCATGCTGATAGGTTTATCTGTTAGTAGGAATTTGTTGAATAAGTCGTAGGTTTTGTTAGAATTAGTAATTCGGCCTTGTATTAGTGTGGATTAAATTTGAAGATTGTGGTAGTAGAATCTTGTCCGTGATTAAAAATCATTCAATAACATATCTTATGAAATTGAACAATTTTACGATTCAATTAGTTTGTACGTTGGTGAAATTCAATAGTTCAATTTGATATATTATAAATTCATTAAGCACGTTTGTGAATCTCTTAATATATATAATTTTTTTCACGCAAAATTTGCTCCTGACGTACAAAATAAACTTTGATTTTGAAAACATGTTAAAAACCTTTTCAATTTTTTTTATAAATTTGAGAGATCTATTCAACCCCATCCTCTCCTCTAGATTGTTCATAGTCCATATTCTCACTCAACATCCTTTAGCTTTTTCAAATTTTCTAAGGATATCTGATGAGTCTGATCCGATCATCTCAACTGCTATATCTATTAACTTGGCTTTGGTAAATGTAATGTGGTTAAAGATGTTATAGTCATTTTCTCCTCTTGAAGGCGAAAGGTATTTGTCTCCCCGTTCCACCTATTTGAAAGGATCGTCAGTATGTCATGGTCAACTAACTATATTAAATCTTGTGGTAGAGAGATCCGCTAACATATTATATTGAATGACATTTGTAAAATCATTCATCGTGTGAAGTTAACAGAGTAATGATCTTTTTGTTTTTAATATATATATATATATATATATATATATATATATATATATATATATATATATATATATATATATATATATATATATATATATATATATATATATATATATATATATATATATATATATATATATATATATATAGGGGTGTTCAAATTAAAATTAAAATTGCAATTAATCCAAAAAAATAAAATAAAATAAAAATGCACAAAACTGAATATTTTATGAAAAATGCACGGATCAAATCGGATTTTGAATTAAATTCTCAAAAACTAAATCAAATCTCATAAATATATTTTAATACTTTTTATTTTTATATTAGTATGATGTATTACATCAATCTATTATTAATTGATTTTTAATTTTTTGACTATAACTTATTACTTTAATTTAATATTTTTATTATTATTCTATATTCTTCAAACATAATTGACAAATTTAATTTTGTAATTTTAAAATTTAAAATTTAATATTTAATATTTTATATCTAACCTAATATTTAATCGCATCTTTATAATAATATTATTAATTAAAAATATATAACTTATAAATTTGAATATCCAAAAATCGACTTAAAATATTGCATAGATTCATATTTAATTTTTTCAAATTATCACTTGAAACCTAATCAACCGGCACATGCTTTTGCCATTAGATCAAGTAAGTTTTAGTCTCAAAATTGATCTAAATTGCACAACAAACACCTATAATTTCAGTGACTCGTCACTAAATTGAAAATAAAATAAAATAAAATACATTTTAAATCAAGAATAAAAAATAAATTGTAAAATATGCATCATTTCTCTCACTCAAAAAAGAAGGAGTTTGAATTGTGTTTTTAAAATGAAACTTTCTTTTAAAAATATTCCCCTTTAAGTTAAAAATTATTTTTCCTTCACTCTTGATAATAATAAGAAGAAGAACAGGAAGTAAAGAATAATGTATGTTTGTAACACGGTGGGAGAACTGACTTGATTGTTTTGTGTTTGATCGCAATTGTGCGGATAGCAAGAGTCGTCACTGACTTTTCTTTTATCCAAAAGGAA